TTTTTACCTTTTGTGGTCATTTTGCCTTTGGGGACGAACCAGAAGTTGCACAATGTCAGATCAGGGGATTAGGTGGGTGAAGACCCTCTGTAATGTGTCTGTGAGCCTGGTTTCTGTTGGATGCACTTGGTAGAAGCAGTCACTGTATTTTTTGTCACACCTTGTGCAGACACTCTGAAAGGGGCTTCCAGAGCTGCTTAGAACATGGCAGAAGTGATGGGACCAGTGTGTTCAAAGCAAAGGATAATGTACTGAGGGGGATTTTAACTGTGATCAGTTTTTAAAATTTAAATACTCACTATATATTTTGATTACCCTTTGTATGTCTCTCATCTTTGAACTTTTGAGGTGAATTCTTTTTAAATTTTTTGTTCATTTTTACATTTGGGATATACCTCATGTACTCTAAAACACACCACTTTCAAGTGTACACTTCACAGATTTGTAGAACTACCGCATCAACACTGCCTAACCCCAAGTGCTTCATTGCCTCCCCAAAACCCTTGAGCACTGACCTGCTGTTTCCTGCCCCTCCCAGCACCTGGCAACGACCAGCTTACTCCCCATCTCCCTGGATTTGCTTCTCCTGGGCGTTGTGTGTAAATGGGATCCGTCTGTGGCCTTCGGTGTCCGGGATCTTTCCTGCGGCACCGTGTTTTCAGGTCCGTCCGTGTTGTAGCATGTCAGTGCTCTGCTCGTCTTTGTGGATGTATGCTCCTCCCATGTATGCGTCCACCACCTGCCCGCTCCTCTGCTGACAGACATTTACTTCAGTGGTTTCCACTTTTTTGTTATTGAGAAGAGTGCAGGTGAGCATTTGTATGTGAGTTCCTGTGTGAATATGTTTCAGAGAGGAATTGCTGTCTCCCACGTTACTGTTCCTCCCAGGGTCTGGCCCTGGGCCTTGCACGGAGTGGCGCCTGAGTAAACCCAGTATGTGGAGGGTGTGTGAAGAGAGACAGCTCCTCGCAGGGCTGCCCTGCTGCTCCCCAGGGCCAGCAGTACGAACCAGCCCTGCGAAGCTGGTGCTGTTCTCAGCCTTGACATTTCTGGGTCCTGATACTTTCACAGGAAGTCACAGTGCTGGGATTAGCTGGGCGTGGTGGCTACCAGCACTTGGGAGGCTGAGGCAGGAGGATCGTTGCGAGTTCAAGGCCAGCCTGGCCTACAAAGTGAGCTCAAGGCCAGCCTGCACTGCGTAGGAAGACCCTGTCTCAAAAAGACAAAACAACAAGTGCTGGGATTACAGGCGTGCACCACCACTCCTCCTGGCTAGTTTTTTATATTTAGTTAAAATACTAAAAATCAAAGAATGTAGGATAATGTCTGGCATGTTCATACTTACTATTGTTAGTGATCATTATTATTCCATAATGCAGCTGTTTGTTTTTCTTAAATTTGTATGTTCTGTTTATAGGTAAACTTACAGGCTTTGTGAAATTTTTATTGGAAATGTAGATACTTAAGCAATACTTTTTAAAATAGCATAAGCCCTATCATGGGGTTGGGGATTTAGCTCAGCGGTACAGCACCTGCCTGGCAAGCACAAGGTCATCAGTTCGATTCCCAGTACCAGAAAAAAAACAAAAACAAAATAAGTCCTATCATGTTAATTCCCAGGACAGGAGAGAATATTCTTTTACCAAGAGGCAAACATGAACCTTAACACATACTTTTAAAGTCTTTCTTCTGCAAGGACATTCACTGTATAAAGAATCAAGTCAGTCAACAAATTATCCTACCACTATACCCCTTAAAACTAATCTCAGAAACACAGAAACTTATTATATTTACTTTACAAGGTGGAAATATCTGTGTTAAGTCTGATTGAGGTAATGTTGTTACAAAAATTTATAAATCTTAAAGGAGATGTGATAAAAAGTATTTATCTTTTTTCCTCCTGAATGCCTACATCTTAACAAGAGACCAACACAGTGATTTAAAAGCCTCACTATTGGTAAATAATGGGGACACAGACCAAAATAGTAATATCCACTGTTTGCTGCTCTACCATGTGAAACACAAGCGATCATGTATCCTAACTTGCTTAAAGATGTCTTTGACCAAAAAGCAACATCTGTCATATGTAAATTTTCTTATTTTAAAGAAAGCAATTATGTTCTATAGATATGAATTATGTAATGTAAATAACTTAGGTAAAATTAGTTATTTTATAACACTAAAAATGTCTTAATATTGATATATAATATTATATATTCTGTATTTATAAAGTATATTACAGCCTTAATGTGTTCCTGATGTGAAGAGGCTCAGCTTACTAAAAATTTGTAACACTATTCCTAAGTTGACTATTTCTAGGGCAAGCAGTTCAGTGATAGCGGTTTTTCTTGTGGCATTTCGAAGGTCTTTCGTTAATCATATTGTAAATCAACGTTACTGATTGATTTGAAGTCAGTGCATTCCAGAACTCAGAGTACCCAGAAAACTGTGGTGGGCCTTTGGGTTTGACCGTCGACGTTCCCTGATGTCCATCTTTGTTCCTGCAGTATTTTCTTCGCTGAGCCTTGGCCTGCTTCCAGAACGATCTGCCACTCTAATGGTCTACGAAGACGTTGTCCAAATAGTATCGGGATTCCAAGGTATGTTTAACATTTATAAAGAGAACGACAGTCCCTCCGGGGCCAGCTACTAAAGCCTTACCCTCAGGGGGTGAAGGCAGTGGGGTTCTCTACAGCCAGGGCGCAGCATTTGCTGCTGTCCCAGTGAGGTGGCAGCGTACCTGAATTTCAGTTAAACTCTCAGTTGCCTTTAACCTTATTTCTCCCAGGCTCATCCTTTAAGTGTGTATATAAGCATGTGAGAGAAAAGAAGGGACCGCCCTGCTGTGCTTAGCCCCCCTACGCACACACGCACACGCACACACCATCTCCCTATCCAAAGCGGGGACAGATTGACAGTCTGGCCCTCCGCGTCTGCAGATTCCACAACCACAGGTTCTATACCTGCAGAGTTGACCAGCTTTCGACAGAACCGATTAAATCGTGCGGATGGGGTGGGCTCATTTCTCCCTGCACTGTTAGGAGCTGTGGAGACACAGAAAGAACGTGACTTGCAGCTATCTCTCTTAGAGGATGAATTTGAAGAGAAAAGAAGTCTCTGGTGGGATTTGTGACTCAGGTTTGGGGAACAAAGCAGATAGAGATACAAATTTTGGTGTCATCTGTACAGCAAACACCCATAAAGCTGTCTTTTTTCCAAGAGAGAACGGTGACAGGCCCACGCCTTCACACCCTTTTGTGTGGCCTAGGCCCGTGGCTTTGGTGCCGTCCCGTTTTTCTTTCAGCGCGGCTATGGTCAGAGTTCCTTGCCACCTCCCACTCCCGGTCCCAAGGACGTTTCCTCCCCACCCGTCTGGTGGCTCCCCCACATTCAGCCGAGAGTGACGTCACCCTGCCTTGCGGCCCTTTCTTCCTGTTTCCGGGTCCCTTTTTCTGGGGACGCTCCAGTGCCTTTCCTGGGCCCACACTTTTTTCCAGTCCTTCTCCCGGATGGTCTCATCTGGACCCCTGGATCTCAGTGTCCGCCATGCTGATTGCTCCCACAGCCTCTTTCCGAGGAGCTCGGCCTCGCCTGAGGTGCAGGCTTAGAGGCAGCTGCTTATTTGCATCTCCGGTTGCCTGTTTTGTGGGCGTCTCTAGCTTGACACATGCACACAGAGTCCTGATTGCTTCTCGCCTCCTATTTCAATGAATGATACAGGAGCTGGGAATTTAGCTCAGCGGTACAGCGCCTGCCTGGCAAGCACAAGGTCATGAGTTCGATTCCTGGTACTGGAAAAAGGAAAAAAAAAAAGAATTGATCAATGAATGATACAAACACAGACTGCAGCTGGCCCTGTGGGAGCTTTAGGCATCACCCTTGAGGCTCCTGCGTTTGTGTCTCATCTCCTGCTGAGCCTCTTCTCCCCAGCCCTGCGGCTGCCTCAGGAATCCAGGACACCTCCAGGCCCCTCAGAGCACTTCTGAAGGTTTATGTTTATGCCATTCCCATTCTTGCCACAGGCGATCAAGCCAGCTTGCTTCCAGTTCTTAAGGGGGAGCAGGGTGTCTCATTGTACTTGGGATAAAATCCAAACTCTCCGCCCCGGGGCTCTAGGTCCTGCCTGAGCCTCTGGTGCTGCCCGGTTTGCAGAGCTGACTGTTGGTGAAGGCGGGGCACGGTCTGTGTACTAAATCGCACTGAGGTCCCAGAGAAGAGTTTCCTCGCCCCGTCCTCCTCTGCGCACAGCTTGGAGGCCCCACGTGGTCGCTGTTGGCCTTTTCTTCTCCTCCACAGCCACGTCTGCACCCACTTTGCCTTCATTAGGGTCCTAAGGAGAGAATGTGTGATCCTTTGCTGACACTTTGACCCCTGGGGCGGTTTTGTCCTTAGCGGGGTGCTGCACTTGTGACAGGGCTCAACCTGTAGGGTCCTGAGCGATGGCCATACATGGTGTCTGACCTTGTCACTGCTGGCTCAACTCCACAGTCACCTGCAGCCCGGTTGTCTCCTCTTGTGGCTTAGAGGGGGCCCTGAGGGATCCCGGAGTCCGTGTTACACAGCGTCTTCCCCCCACGCAGTATGCGTGACTTTCTTTGGGATAGAGAGACTGTTTGGTAGTTATGCAAGTTCTGACCCACACACCAATAAAGCCCTTCCCGCATCCAGCTGGGCAGTGGCCTGCAGCGGCCTGCCAGCATGAGCAGCAGGGTGAACACATGGCACCTGTGGGACTGGCTTTAGTAGTCAGCAGCCCTTGCATTTTGTAAATGAAGAAGTGATTGTAGCCGGACCTGGTGGCGCACGCCTGTAATCCCAGCACTCAGGAGGCTGAGGCAGGAGGATCCTTGCGAGTTCAAGGCCAGCCTGGGCTACAAAGTGAGCTCCAGACCAGCCTGAACTGCATAGCGAGACTGTGACTCAAAAGGACAAAAGAAATGATTGCTATTAGGGTCCGCCCTGTTTATGAAGAAAGCTGGGACAGACTTGTAACAGTGAGAAGGGCAGTAACCCCACCCCAGTCACATTACTGGTGAGCTGGAGGAATTCCCCCAAGAGGCTGCAGCTGAAAATTGCTCACTGGTGCAAACTGCTGGTACATTCCTTCCAGGGTTGTCACTGAGATAAGAAGATGGCAGAATCTTCTGCAGACATCTTTGTGCTGTGCCGAAGAGCACGTTCGCTTCAGTCTTGTGGGGAGTGTTCGGTGGTGAACCTGGAGTGAACCACAGCGGGCTTGGTGGTGAGGGGTGGAGGGTGATGTGGTGCTCAGAGCCGTAGATGTGACCGCAGAGCCGGCCCACAGCTCTGGCTCCCGGGCCGCCCGGAGCCCTCTGCTGACCCCAGAGAGATGCTTGGAACGTGGTGAAGGGACAGAGCAAGGTGCTGGGGAGACACCCCTGGCTGCTCTGGCCTCCCACCTGCAAGCAGCCCGCCCTGCCCACGTCCGTGCGCTCATCCTCCTCGGGGGCTCTTGCTGTTCCCTACACAGCTCTTTTCTATTCCCAGGACGCCTCCTGGTCGCCTCACTCGCCCCACTTTCACGCCCCTCCTCCTCAGTGACCTTGCCCCGAGCCCTTTCACCTCCCCGCTGGGCCCCGTTCCCCTCCTCTGCACCCTCCCCAGGCTGTGCGCCGTCTTTCAGGTTCCCTCTCGGTCCTGTCTCAGCTCTCAGAATGGCGTAGAGCTGTGCCAGGCAAAAAGAAACCTTCTTACGCCCTGCTTCTTCAGATTGCCTCTTCCTTCCCCGCGCCCTCGCTAACTTTGGAGACATCACCTCTTGCCCTGTGCATGGCGTTCAGCCCTCTTACGTGGCCTCGCACTATTGCTTAGAAGTTTCCCTTGCTGGGTTTGGCATGGTTGGAGTTGCCAGATGTGGCCACCCACCCAGCCTTCGTGCTGCCTAACTTGTCCCTGGCCCGCCCCTTCCTCCTTGAATCCTGTTTCTCCTTGCCTGCTGCCTCTGCCCAGAACTTCGTTCTTTTCTTCTCAGCCTCCGTCATGGGTTCTCTCTGCCCCGCCCATCTCTTATGCCCACCGTGGCCTTCGACTGTAGCCACCTATTCTGCGAGCTCCAGGGCCACTGCCTTTGATTGGAACTTGTCATGTCTCATTTGGACCACTTCATAGTTGCTTCTGCCTTACACTCTGTCCACCTACCACCAGTCCCCACCTGCTGTCAGAATTGGGTAAAAACAAATACTACCAGGCCAACCCAAGTCCAAGCCTGGGGTAGCATGTCCTGTGCCCGCAGCCTCATCCTCCACTCAGCTCGCACACGCCCCTGGAGCCAGGCTGCCTCACACCCCACACCTTCATATGTGCTGGGTCTCCTCATCTGCCTCCTCTCCGCCTTCACAGGTCCACGTACACACGTGTGTTCCAGGAAACTGCTTTCTTCCCGGGCTGTCGGTTGCTCACTGTGGAAGTTATCTTGTACTTTCATTGTTTCTCTTTTGTCTTAAGACTTAAGACACTATGATAATCAAGCCATTTTTTTTTTTGTCTGCCTTCTCCACTCTTGAATTCCAGGAGTGCAAAGGCTTTTCATGTTCTTCTGCGTCCTTTGTGCTGGAGACCTTCGTTGTATGTTGTCTGGATTACAGGGAAGATGGTGAGAATATACAGTGAACAGTTCTGCATTGGGATTTTGCCCCCTGGGGACATTTAGCAGTGTCTGGGGATTCTTGGGAGCTACGACTGGCATCTTGCGGGTGGAGGCTACAGATGCTGCTAACTATTGCTGCAGTCCACGGGGCAGCCTTATCCCAGCAGAGAATGACCTGGCCTCGACTATAAGTGGTCCTAATCTAGTAAGAGTTAAGACAAAGCATTACTGGAAGTTTCCAGGCATAACTTGGCTTCTCTTTCAGTTCCATAAATATGGCCAGGCCCCAGGTAGAGAACGGGCTCGTGAAATGCATTTCACAGAACAGCTACTCTTGATTTCTTCAGTCTAAAAGGAAAGCGATGGGGAAGGAACCCTTATCCCACCCTGACGCGTACCAGGAAGCACTGTGAGCCCTGTTACGTGTCTGCTCTGAGCAGATGCCCCAACAGCTGTACTACAGGACAGGTTTGATTCACACTTGTTTTAACAGTAAATAACTTGAAGCCCCAAGCCACTCAACTAGACAGCGGTAAAGAAAGGACTTAAACCTGGAGTTAAGTGATTCCACCATCCGTGTTCTTCTCTTGCTTTGCCTCCGACAGGGAGATGTGCAGATGCCCCCATAAGTATGGTCCCCCACAGGGCACAGTCAGGTCAAGACTGTAAGAGGGACAGAGCTTAGAGCTTGGGGTGAGATCAAGAAAGGCTACAAAGAGGAGATGGGGTTTGAGGTGCATATCACATATGCAGATAGGCAATGGGAAAAAGGTTCAGACATGGAAAGGAGGAGAAGAGCGTACACAGAAGCAGAGCCGTGCGGTCCTCTGCTAGGTAGCGGGGGCTGACCGTTAGTAACTAGAGCATCTGTGTTGTGGTAGACGTGGTGTAATGGGAAGGGATGCAGACATTTGAATTAAATGATTCCCGCCTCTTACGTGCGGAACCGCTTTGGCCAAGTTGGTTAACCTTTTTGGACTTCAGTTTCCTCAGAAAGCCAGAAGAGAATTCCCCCTTCACAGGGGTGTTTTGTGGGGCTTATGGGTCCTGCAGCACTAACCCATGCTCCTGAGGCATGAGAGATGTGAAGTAGGAGCTTAGGTCTGTATCGATCTGCTTATTTCTGTCACCACTGTTAATCCGGCAAGTGGCAGAGATCCACTGATGGCTTCTGAGCAGGGAAAAGACACGACTCGAGTGGGAGCTTAAAGCAGACACAGTGTCACTAGGAGAAATGGAAAAGAGGGCAAGACCGAAGCAGGGGTGGTTAGGAGACTTCCCCAGGAGCTGAGGCAAAGGTAATGTGGGGTAGCATAAGGCAGAAACGGAAAGGAAGGAAAAGACAGAGAAGCTGATGATGGCCGGTCCACCTTGGCACTGGAATGGCTCCATAAGATACTCAGAAGGGACACTGGTGGCCTGGATGCCAAAGTGGACGCTGGTGAGAACATATGTGATCATTAAGTGAGAGAAGAAGGTGGTGGTGGTTTTGAGGTGCTAGACGGGCATCCGGGGAGAAGCAGTTCAAAGGCGGAGGAGGTGCAAGTGTGGAACTTCGGAAAGAGGCCGGGGCTGGAGAGGACAGTGAGAGCCCCAGTGGCGGTGGTGGAAGGGAATCGCTAAGGGGAGGGGAGAGGAACAGCAGAGTCGGTGGACTACGTATTTCATCTGGAGGCAGGAAGAGAAGGAAAGAACTTGCAGCGGGGAAGCAGGCAGACTGGCGAGAACCAGAGCACAAGGCTGCGAGCCCCACGACGAGGGGCTTTCTGGGAGGGGACAGCAAGCAGCACTGAACATCACGATGAGGCCGCGGAGGACAAGGGCTCAGAACTGGTCACGGGCTTGCAGTCCCCACCTCCAGCACGTGCTGTGGGTGAAGATACGTCTCGGAGGCTGGGCAGAAGAAGAGAAGGCAGTCATCTATGGGGATAGCAGAGCTGAAGGAATGGCTGATGATATTTCAGCAGGGGGAAATGAGTGCATTTGTTGAGGAGGGAAGCAAAGCCTGTAGACAAAGAAGTTGCTGACAAAGAGTGGGTGGAGACAGGTCCTGCAATAAACAACTAAGGAAAGTTAAGAGAAGGGCTTGGGTTGGCTTTGGAGGAGAAAAGGGAAACAGGAAGAAATAGACCTGGTGTGCCGAGGGGGGAGTGGCAGCCGCAGCGTTTTCATCAAGTAGGATCTGGGCGTGTTGGGAATGGGGTGCAGCCCTGTGTTTGAGGCCGGGGGTGTGAGAAGAGGCCAGTCCACTCTCCAGCTTCCATTCCCAGCCGGTGCTGTGAAAATCTAGCAGCTTTCATGCGTGCAGATAGACTAAAAGTGCAACCACTCCCACAGCCCCCCACAAACCCACTCCAATTTTGTTTATGCTGTAGCTCAGAATAACCTTTATCATTAGACTCCTCAGCTGTCTGGTCATTTCACCAGGCAGAGCTGTTGCCTGCGTGCTGCCTGCTGGGTCCCTCAGCAGACCCACCCATGCCATGGTTGGCTAGCCACAGTGCGTGTCAGGTCTGCTGGAGAGGCCACTTCCCTTCTCGTCAGCCTGGCTGAGCATTGCCCCCCAAGTGCCCCAATCCCAGCCACAGCCGCAGCCACAGCCGCAGCCGCCGCAGCAGCCAGACCCTGGATGTCAGACCAGCAACCAGATTCTCCCACAGGATGAGAGGAGAGAGAGGGAGCGGGGACAGAGAGCCAGAGAGAGAGAAAAGAGAGAATGAAGGTGCGTATGTCCCACCTCCTTCTGAGGTGACCTGGGTTCTGCCTTCTCCCTTGACCCTAAGGAGACCCAGGTCCCCCTCTGCCTCATCTCCCTTAGCCACGCTGTTCTTTTCTTCATATGAACTGAATTCTTCGCTTGTCCACTGCGTGAGATCCGGGTCTCCACAACTGAATACACCAGCGGCATTGTTGAGGCAGGAAACAGCTGAGAAAGTACATTTTCCTCTCACTGAAAACAGTTACACTGGAAGTGTTGGTGCTACTCCGTAGGTGGGGTGAGGAGGTGGAAAGGGAGAGGCTGACTTTGACTTTCCCCCTCCGAAGCTGGGGCGGAAAAGGAGAAAGAAAGAAGCGGGCGGTGTGTGTAGTCCGGTGGGAGAAAAGGAGTCAGGAGCACACTGCTTCCAGCCCAGCACAGAAAGCTTGCGGGGTCTCCAGGAGCTTGGATTCTGTGCCCGCCCTGAAGGAGTGAGACATCAGTGTTCTGTACCATCAAAGGAAAAGAAGATGAGACCAAGAACAGGGAAAAAGGTCAAAAGATGCAGACCCACAGAGGTGGCGCATCACTGTGCGTTTATTTCGGGGACGAAGGCGTGGTCCGGACCGAGGCTGGTGGGTATGCGCGGTGAATGTCCGTGCAGGTGGCCAGTATCGGATAGGACTGCCACGCTGTGAGCACCTGGGCCTTGGGCTCTGCACCTGGGCCTGCATTTCAGAGTGGACATTCAGCCAGGGAGGGGGCCTGAGCAGGGATGTTTAGGAGGAAGAGGAAGCGTGCGACTGTACTACCACCCAGGCCACAGCACCCAGGCTGGGCAGCCTGCCCTGCATAGAAGACGTCGGTCCTTTGGGCTTCCGTGGCCTCACCTGTGGGGAAGGAGCCTTGGATTTGTGGATCCTCTGATCTCTGAAGCTCATATTTCAGAACACTTCCACATAGGCTGCTGCTTCCTTGTACGTTCTCTGCCCCGAGCTAACGGGGACCCTGGGATAGCTGTGAACGGTGGGGTTGGTATTCTGGGACAGCTGTGGGCTGCGGAGGAGGAGCCCTTGGCTGAGGGCAGGGGACACAGCCTCAAGCCAGAGAAGGATGCAAGGATTTGTGTTAATATTCTCACCAGGTTTGTGCAAGAATGCTTAGCATCTTCACGCTGGTGACTGCCACCACCACGTTAGGTAAAACCAGGTTCAGACTTCGTTCGCAGTCACCGCAGCGTCTGGGGAGGGTGGACCGCAGGTGACACGGAGGAGCGGGCCAGAGTTTGATGAAGGCGTGTCACTTCACGTCATCTCCAGATCTTCTTGTAAATTCTTTGGCATAATCCGTCGCACGTAGGAAGCACCCTGAGGGACAGGAGAGACCCCGATGGCGGCCTCCGCAGGCAGGGAAGGGAAGGGCAGGGCTCACACTGCCGGGCCTCGTGTTTCCTTTCTTCCCAAGGCTGCGCGCTCCGTTCCGGGTGTTTGCTCTGCTTCGATTTGCTCGGTGCAGTTAAAGCAGATTTTACTGGGGAGATGGAGGGCGGGTGGGGAGCAGTATCAAGCGTATATTGCGTTGTTTGTATAAAGGGATTAATTGTCATCTACTGTGTTTCATTTACTCTTGGACTTTCCCAAAATACTACCCAATCCACAGGCAAACGCTGGGCAGTGAAAAGACTGCTCACAAACAGAACTTGGAAACAGCGTTTTGTTAAAAACCTAAATAACATTTTGTGTCAAAACAAATGTGACAATGGGCTATTATTTCCCATCCCATAATAGCATGTTGTCATGCCTTTGTGTCCTGCATGAATGAGGAATGGGAGGCAGTATGGGACGGGGCTGGCGAGGCGAGAAATGCGGAAAGCCCAGCGAGCGCTGCTGGGTTTTGCATTTTCTGAGGCAGGCAGCGGCTCCTCGGGAGGGTAACGCAGAGGTTCGTCCCCACAGGTGCCCGGCCACAGCCTCGCGTTCATTTCCAAAGAAGGGCTCTGCGGTTGCCCGAGAACACTAGCTACAGCGACCTCACCGCGTTCCTCACGGCAGCCAGCTCTCCCTCAGAGGTGGACAGCTTTCCTTACTTGCGAGGATTGGACGGAAACGGAACAGGTAATTGAAGTCTCTTCCCCTCTGAGGTGGGGACTCTGTGTTCGAGTCTCCAGACTGGCTGTGGAGGCAGCGAGTGGGAGGGGGCCGTGCATGGCAGCGCGAGAGCGCAGGTCACCAGCACCTCAGTTCACCCTGGACGCAGGATTTCATTTTAGCCAGTTGTTCTCCCTGGGCCTCTTCGTGGCTACCATCTGCTGGAAGCACCTCCACTGGGCTTCTCTCTGGTGGACTAAGTGTGTTGAATTCAGAGAATAATTTATAACTGAGTTATAAATTATAATTTGTGTTTAAATGTGAGATAGAGGATTTCTGCCCTGCGGACCTCCGCCTCATCCCACTGCCCAGCCACCCTGGAGCAGAGGCACCCAGCCGCCCCCGACACACACTGTGTGCCCGCTGCAGGGGAAGGCCGGCACGCCTTTCCTGGGGCGCCCGCCAGGCGTGTTCCCCTCCCACCCACCAGCGTCTGAGCCCCTTCGGAGCTGGAGCCTCTGTCTCCTACATCGTTCCTCTCTGCTCACTCTCCTTTTTTGTCTTTCCTTTCAAAGAGTATCAGAAAGAAAAGGATTCTGAAGGGGGTTTGCTTAGAGTGGCCAGGCTTTGAAGTTGATCTGGAATCTTCCTCTGGCAGATCTCTAAGTCAGCTCCATCACTGTTGCTATTCTAGCATGACACATCAAAGCCACCAGCAGCAAAGAGGTGATAGTGTCTTATCAGAGAAAGACTGCAGACATGTGCCCCCCACCCCCGCCTCCGTCCTCGCCCCACACGGACTCGAGAGAGCCCCTGCTAACAGGCTTCCCAGCCATTCTCTGGAGCGGGAGAGGGCCAGGATCTGGGGGTCGTGAGTCGGTTTCTTGTCTGTTCTCCCTCTCATCCCCCATGTTTTAGAATAGCCACTGCATGAAATCGAAAACCAGAGGCTTTTCTGGGTTAAATCCTACTAGGTGAGTAAGTTACTGCATTTCCCAGGGACAGTTTTATTGAATTTCACTTAATTTTCCAGTACTTTGCATGCACTGATAATCCTTGGCTGGGGTGGGGGTGGGGGTGGGGTTAAATCGGAATCATCTGATCCATTTTACAGCATGTTAATAAGCTTGTGGTTAGAGATGAGCGTGACCTGGTGATTTCTTCTTTACTTTTCTACCGTCTGTGGTATGTATTTTAAGAAATTTTTCTTCCTTTAACTGTTCTGTACTGATGAGGCAACTTACATGTCAGTCCTTTGCCATCAGACAGATGTATAGTATTCAACTTTAGTAAACATTCTTGGGGGAAGAATACTGACTTTTCCTTTAAAGGTGCAAAAGAAAAGCATTGTTTCAGGGAACCTGGTGACATCTAGTTTGAGACCATCCTGACTTCCGTCCATCTCCAGGACAAAATGAAACATAGTCATAAAACCCCAACTCCAAGGGACGTCCTCATTCCTCAGAGCTCATTTAATTTTCCTCTGTCCCACTTCCACTAATTCTTGAATAAATTATGAAATCTGAGAAGCCTGGAGGAAGAAGAACTCAAAGACAAAGGACTATTGATTTGGTAGAGTTTTATTTTAAAAATCACTCTATTGCAGAGAGAAGGCAGCTGGTCATTAGACGGTGACATTGAACTTCTTTTCCACTAAAATAACTGATAAATTGATCTACAGAGGATCAGACCTTCCCTGAGCTCTACCAGCAAAGGCATCCAGCCCGAGGCCTGTTGCCAGGCGCTGGGAGATTCGCTGGTGCTCAGGCTCCACAGAGCACCAGACTCCGCAGCCCGTCGGCCCGGTACCGGCCTGCAGGCCCGGTTTGAACACAGCCCCTCTCCTGCCCCATGAGGACGTCCCTCCAGTTTTCCAAATGGCTCTAAGAGATTTCAGCCAAGAGGGAGAGCTGGAAGCAGACATGCCTTTGTAAGATGGCAGGTTGAGGTCAACAAAGGTGGGCAGAAACAAAGGAGAGACTGCAGAGGAGTTTGGCAGAGGGTCTCCTTGGAGTGTCACAAAGACAGCTGTGTCTATTTAGAGGAAAGCTTAGAGTTAGAAGTAGAGAAATGGGGACAGGGATGTAGCTCAGCGGCCTGAGCGCTTACCTGGCAAGCCTAAGGTCAGAAAAAAAAAAAAAGAAGTAGAGAAATGCCACCAGGTGGAGATTTCAGACTCTTCCCCACTTCTCTTTGCTGTCTGTCTGGTCCTTTAGCAAGCATCCTGGCAGCACAAAGGGCACCCGCTGTAATATGGGCTTTTACATATATGCTATAGCCAGGCATGGTGGCGCATGCCTGTAATCCCAGCACTCGGGAGGCTGAGGCAGGAGGATCTTTGCAAGTTTGAGACCAGCCTGGGCTACAAAGTGAGCTCAAGGCCGGCCTGAACTGCATAGCAAGAACTTGTCTCAAAAAAAAAAAACCAAAAACAAAATACATATACGCTGTAGTATGTAAAATGGCTCCAGGGTGTGTTATTGACCCCTTCATCAAAAATCAAATGACGGATGATGCATGGAGTTATTTCTGCATCTCCTGTTCTGTCCCACTGGCCAAGAGGTCTGTTTTTGCGCTAGTACACAATGGAGTACTCAGCCGTAAAGAAAAATGGAGAATGGGGGTATCTTGAGACCCTAATACTAAAGTGAAATAAGTCAGAAGCAGGCTAACTATTGCATGGTTTCTCTAATATGAGAGGACTGTAATATAAATAATTTAAAGAGCAAAATGAAAGGTGGTAGGAAACAGGGAAGTGGGATGGAGGTGGGAAAGAGGGAGGGGCGCCGTTGCTTCCTGTTGAAGAACTCCCTTCTGCAGTGTTGCTCACCTCTGGGAGACTGCGGCTGAGAGGCCTATCTCCATGCCTCCAGAGCCGTCTAGTCCACCCTGTTTGTTAAGGAGATAAGAAAAACAGCCCTGAGGAGTGGAGTGACTTGCTGGGCGCTGGGTGGGTAGTTAGTACCAGACCCGATACAGGAGCCCCACCTGCCCAGGCCAGGGTTGTGCAGGATCACGGCAAAGGAGAATCGAAAGGTAGTAAGACAGAAGGGGGCAGATTCCATATTCATTCTCCCTGTCTCCCTCTCCCTCTCCCTCTCTCTCTCTCTCTCTCTCTCTCTCTCTCTCTCTCTTTCCCCTCTCTCTCTCTTTCTGGGATGGTTAAGGCAGAAGCGGAGAATGCCTTTCTGTCCTCCATTATTTTCTCTCTCTCCTTTTTTTTTGCCATGGGGGACATTGAACCCAGGGCGTCACACGTGCTAGGCAGGTGCCCTACCCCTGAGTTACACCTCCAGCCCAGGAGACCCATTCCTGCCGCGCTCTCTACCCTCTGCCTACTCCCTGTGCAGATGTCCTGCACAGGGGTCAGCGGGAGAAAATAGCTCTTCCTACAGGGAAGCTAAATTGTTTATGCAGAGTCAAATAAACCACTAAATGTCTTTGTAGTTTTCGGTTGAGCTGTATGCTGTAGACCTGTTATTATGTCACCTTTAAATGGTTGGCATACAGAAGGTATTTTAACTAGAATTATGCTAAATTCTGGATTCTGGCTTTCTGTATCTTAATATGAAATTGCAAGACTAAAAGATTTCCAAGTTTGGGGCTGGGGATTTAGCTCAGAGGCAAAGCGCCTGCCTGGCAAGCGCAAGGTCGTGAGTTCGGTTCCCGGTACCGGAGAAAAACCAAAAAAAAGATTTCCAAGTTTGATTCCAGCACAAACCTTTTGATGAAATCTCTCTCCCAAGCCTCCTCATTCTTTGAACGACCAGAGTGGGTATAAAGGATGTGAGTTATGTTATCAGTAGCTGTTTAGAAACTCCTCCATGAAGGGTTCAGCCTGAGTCTGAGTCCTGGATACTGTGAAGTTCATTAGGTTTGCTTTAAGTGTTTAAATGTAGTCCAAATTGGAGAAGACATTAGCTCAGGTAGGTAGGGAGGTAAGTACTGTATATAAATAACTAAATAAAAAATTTTGCAGATTGTATTCTACTGTAACCTGAAGTTTTTATCACTGTGTGTCATTCTGTTCAAGGAAGGATGTAAAATTATGACAGTGCATTTTACATGCTATTATATTTCACTAGAGAAAAATCTAAAATGGATTGCTTAAGTGTGTAAATACCCTCTCAGAAGCATTCTCTGATTTATCTGTAGATGGTCATTAAAGCACTGGCTTGGATAAAAGTCTTCTAGTGCAGTGTAATTGGGATATTAAATTCCTTTTAAACATACCAAAATACAATGGTATCCAAAATAACTCATAAATACTTCAAGCTCAAGTTTTAATAGTATACTTTTTTACTTTTTCAGAAGTAAGTTAGTATTTGGCAGCAATCCTTCAAGAAACTTCCTATTTAAAACAAAAACAACCAGGAATGGAGGTGCTTGCCTATAATCTCAATACTTGGGAGGCTGAGGCAAGAGGATTGCAGTGAGTTCAAAGCCAGCCTGGGATACATAGTGAGTTCAAGGACAGCCTGAAATATATAATGTGACCCTGTCTCAAAAATACTGCACAAACAAAAAGCAGCCTGTAATGTAAAACATTTCATTAAGGTACACTTGTTATCAGTGTATACATTGCTAATGCATGCATCGGGTCTCGCTTTATGTAGAGGTTCTTTTCAGTGATTTCCATGTGGCCCTTTGCCTCATGTTACAGAAGAGTCCTTTTCCTTCAAGGCCCTCTTTGGAATCAGCACAGTCGTCAGAAGTGGCAAGGCTTTGCTTGCCTTGTGGTATCATAGTGAGGATGGTTCATATAAAGTGTTTACTCCCACCTGGGCATGGTGGTTCATGTGTGGAATCCCAGCATTCTGGGAGACTGAAGCAGGAAACTTGCAAATTCAAGCCCAGCCTGGGCAATTTAGTGACTTAGCAAGACCCTGTCTCAAAATAAAAAATATTGAAAGACTGGAGATGTAGCTCAGTGCCAGCCCCTGGGTTCAATCCCCAGTTTAAAAAAAAAAAAAAGTGCTTACTGTAATCCTAGGCACATTAAAAGTCCTCTTCACTAAACGGTAGCCATGACCATTTCTCTGCCGGGAGTTTCCACTGCCCAAGTACTCTGTATGTGTGACGGAGAATACCTCTTCCTTCCAGGAAACAGTACGAGGTATGACCTGACCCCTGTCACGGCTGTCAGCGTCCACTTGCTGAGCAGTAGTGGAACCCCGGTGCTGGTGGATGGTCCCATCTACGTCACCGTGCCCCTCGCCACGCAGAGCAGCCTCGGGCACAATGCCTATGTCGCGGCGTGGCGGTTTGACCAGAAGCTGGGTGAGTGTATCATGGTGGGCCAGCGGGTGACTTCCACTGTGCCTGGCTTTCCTCCGGAGAATCGCGTGGAAGTCCCTGTCCTTGCAATTCCTGGGTACTGCTGCCCACAGTGTGCTGTGTGTTTTCTCGTGGGAGAATTTACTCCCCCGCGCCATTCGGGCACTCACTTTGTCATCGTTGTTTAATTTCTGTGCATTTAAGCAAAGTAACTTGCGAAGACTCCGAGGATTGTGAAAGCTAAAATTCTTTATTCTTCAGAGGACCGTATGATTTCTCTTGATCATCTCGTCTTCTGAAGAAGGAAAAGCAATTGCCAGCGTTGTACAAAATAAAATAAAAATTTCCCGTGAGCCTACCACCTGGAGGAAATCATGAATATAGTTTGAATTGTATACTAGTCATTTCACTGTGCACATATGTATTGGTTATGAACAACTGCCTAAGAAATAATCCTAAAATTTAGCAGCTTAAAATAACAAGAAGCATGTACTGTCTTCCAGTTTCTGGGAGTTAGGAATTCAGGCCTGACTGAGCTGAAGGGCTCAGGCTCAGTTTCAGAGACTCTGGAAGAGTGAGAGCCAGGCCATCACCCAGACATCAGCTCACACAAAGTTCCGCTAGGGCCAGCGAGCTCGCTCAGGACCCACTCGCATGCTCCAGGCAGGCCTCCTTTCCTCACCAGCTGTTGGGCAAAGACTTCATTTTCTTGCCATCTGGGCCCTTCCGTATAACTACTTTCAGCATCGAAATTTGCACTCTCTTGGGGCATGATCCAAAGGAAAGGAAAAAATAAACTAGAAAGTTAAAGCCACAGGTGCCCAAAACAGAAATCATCCTTCAGGTCATCTTCCATGAGCATGTGAACAGAAATGAGATCATATGCTAGACTCCAGTCTGTAATTTGTTTTTAAAAATCATTAGAACAGCATAAATATTTTTATAACCTTATCATTCTGCAACATCACCTTTAGTGAGTGCAGAGCATTCTGTCATCTGGCTGTGTCCTAATTCAGCTCAGCAACCCCTTAAAACTAGAAAGAAGTTACTGTTCTAATGCTGTGATAACTATCTTCAAAGCTAAATCTTCGTACACAGCTATGATTATTTTGGAAGGTTTTCTATGTACCTTTGGTTACCTGTTCATGAAAGTCAAATTGGAAATACAAGTTTTTAAATAATCCAGTTTGGAATCTAGAACCATTAGGTAAAGATTAACATAAAGGTTAATGGGAGACTTTTTTACATCAAGTATATTTTCTAAAATACTTAATCCTTACAGTCAATCCTACAATTAAGAAAATAAGTGCCTACTAAATTTTTTCGTTTGGTTTGGTTTTACTTTCTCATTAATTAATAAATACCAGATACCATAATTATTTGAGAATTGAATTATTTTATAAGATGCATTAAGCTTGACATTTGTAGAAGGATTGTGACACCACAGTAACCTAGGCTGTCCTAGATATTGCTTGCTTGTGCCTTTCATAAATTAATAATTGTGGAGAGCGTCATTGTCACCGTCATGCCAGGCCTACGTACGTGCCAGACAACTTACAAAACTTGAAGTCCCGCCTTGGACCGGCACGCACAAGTTTGTTCTCACTTGTGAGAGCCATGCATCTTCAGAGACTCATTCTTATCCTGGAGATCCAAAATGCCCCCAAAGCCGCATGCCTTCAGAGGCGGGGCCTTGGGAAGGTGATTGGATCACAGGGCCCGGCGCCCATCTGCGATTCCATTCATGAGTCCATAGCGGAATGCAGTGCTTGGAGGTGGGGCCCGGCTGGAGGAGGGGCTCACTGGGGACTAATCTGGCCGTGTGTGTTCCTACCTCTGGTGCCGCCCGTTCTCTCCCTTCCCGCTTCCCCGCCCCATCCCACTCCTCTCTCTCTCCCACCCCTCCTCCACTCCTGGCTGCCCTAGGTTGAGCAGCTTTGCCCTACCAGGCCCTTCTGCACGCCATTTCCGCTTCAAAGCCAGCTGGCCGTAGGGTGAGTCCTCTGAAACCGTGAGCTAAAATAAACCTCCCCCTTTAAGGTGCAGCATCAGGTATTTTGTCCC